GTGACACGCGACGGCCCGTGCATTGCCAGTGACTCCCTATTCAACTGTTTCGGTTAAGCTACTGATTCAGGGGGAACTCACTGAGATTTATCTACTCCATCTACTCCACCTAACCCTAAAGTCTGTGGGTCTAATGCGTAATTGTATTGGTCTCTATTTGTAGGTTCACTAGTCCCCTGCCCACTTTATACCTAAACTTTAACCCTCACCCTAAAACTCCCAATTCTAACCCTAAAAAGTCAGTGGGGTTAATGTGTGACTAAATTGATCTTTATCTGTATGTTCACTAGCCCCCTACCCACCTTACGCCCAACATTTAACCCTCACCCTTAATTTCCACCTCTAACCCTAAGATCGGTGGATCTAAGGCATTAGTCTCTATTGGTATGTACCTGGTCTCCTACCCATTTTGGGCTTTAAAATCTAACCCTCACCCTAGAGTCCTACCTCTAACCCTAAAGTTCGTGGCTCTAATACATTAGTCTCTAGCTCTAGGTGACTAGTCCCTTACCTATCTTGAGCCGAAAGGCTAACCCTCACCCTAGGATTCCAGTTCTAATCCTAAGATCCTTTAGTCTAATGCGTAATTACATGTGGTTTTATCGTTATGTTTAATAGGTTCCTACACTCTCTACACTTAACATTTAAATCCTCATCTTAAGATAGTTTGTTATAAAGGTATTTGGCACCACACTAGAAACCATTCTCTTTCGCATCTCATCTCTTTGCCTTTCCCCTTCCCTCTCTCATACACTTTGGATTTGAAATTGGGTGGACCATGGTCAGCCGATTCCGGCTCGGATGTGGTTGACATTACACCATGACACCATATCTGGTACCTGTTCCGGGCCAGTTTTTGTTCCAACCTAGTTTTTTTCTTTATTCTTCTTTATTTATTCTAATTTTTTCTACTTCTTAGTGTTCCTTTATTCTGTCCTTTAATTTTTCCCTACTCTGCTGTTTTACTCTTTATTGATACGAACCAACGACTGGGGAGGGGTTCCAGAGTGACACGCGACGGCCCGTGCATTGCCAGTGACTCCCCAGTCAAACTGTTTTGGTTAATTTACCAATTCAGGGGGAACTCACTGAGATTTATCTACTCCATCTACTCCACCTAACCAACACTGATCTACTCCTAACCCTAACCTTAACGTAATTCACACCATACCTTCTTCTTCTTCTTCTTCTTCTTCTTCTTCTGTCGTTTAATTGGCGGGTGGCAACCAACTTTCAGGTGCATTTCCGACACCTACTGTGAGTTGAAGTGGGGAGTATCCTACAAAAAAATAAAATAAAAAAATAAAAAAATAAATTCTATCAAGTAGACTGATTGCAGGGCGGGGTGAACCATCCAATAAAAGGCAGCTGCCTGCTCTTCCAGCATGACAGCTCTGGTATGGCACTTCAGGTGCTGGGGTCAGTGTTGGGCAAGTTACTTCAAAACTGTAATGCATTATTTATTACTTGTTACCCTCATTTAAAAGTAATTCATTACATTACAATATTACTGATTTCAAAATGTAAGGCATTACACTACTTTTGCATTACTCTAAATTACTTTCAACAAAACAACTTCAGTATGAGTTTGGTAATCTGATGCCCGGTGAACTCATGACACATCCGGTGGAAGGTGATGCGGTGTCTGAGCTAGGGTTGCTGTTAAAACAGTTCTTTAGAATGATTGTTTATGTAATAAATGCAACAACAATTTGTACTCTCAGCACGCTGCCATCTTAGATTAACTGAGTGGTGAGTGAGGTGGTGGGGGCTCCAAGCCTATTTGCCTTGGTCCCCAAATGCCTTGATACGGCCCTGGATGTGGGACTGGCTTCTGGAGTGATCTGATTCTATCACATGTATAAATATTAAATGCTTATATATTATTGCTTTTCACTGGTAAAAACGTGTATTGGGGATAAATCTACCTACTTTTTTCTTTTCAAACACTTTGTTTTGTTTTCTTGATTTTATTTGAATAATTTCTGGCCCTTTCTCTCTCTAACCTTCCTGCATGCTGCATGTTTTCTCAGTCTTCCAGAAAACCCGTTTCCTAGATTTCCTACTTTCTAACTAACAGCCAAAGGGATCTTCACATGCGCGGCGCTCCAGCAGCAATGAGATGAAATCACCGGAGCCCAGATTAACTCAGCTGAGGCAAAGCACGTCAGAAAAGTACAGAATACCAGAGAACATGCGCTGATATGAACGATCGCAGGTGAATTATTTTGTTTTAGTGGAGCGATTTTGTGAATGTTACAGTGGCCGCGTGGAGGACGCAGCTGGAGTATTTGAGCCGTTACCGCTGCATCCTCTCTGCCCGCAAAGCTGAGTCCATAAATGATGTAATATATGCAGATACTGGAACTTTTTTCGGGTTTCCCGCAATTTGAATTTTTAAGAAACGCAGCTTGATTCTGGGTTTAAAAATGTATTGTAATTACCGCGTTACTGACAATTGTACCGAGTAAATATTACCATTTTCTTTCCCTGTAATGCCTTAAATTACCACATTACAGCAAAAAGCAATGCATTACAGTAATTAATTACTTTTGTACCGCGTTACTCCCAACACTGGCTGGGGTACTGAGAGACTCCAACTGCAAGCGTGAGTACTCTCTCTCCTGTGTTGCCTGTGCGGTGTTAGTTCATGCCCATTTCTCCATCTTAATTTGTTTGTAGCGTGCGATCGCAGAATGGAGCTGTGCATGAGGTTAGAGGGTTAACACTGCATCCAGGTACTCCTCGTCAGTAGTGATGGGAAAAATGAAGCGAGGCATCGGAGCGTGTGTCGAGCAAAAGTGGGCGTGCCAAATGAAGCCCTGCTTCGAGGCTTGTATCAGGAAGGGAGAAACCACATGACCGAGGCCTCGGTTTGTGCTGGCGACGTCATTGGCTCGGCCAGCGTGTCGCCTCTTTACAAGCTGCATGGAAAGCTGTGAAGCTTCGTGGTGTTGAAGACTGTGTGACCATATACATCACTTGGAGTGTGTTAGTGTTTTGACACTACCAACACTGCTGGATCCCAGGTATTAAAAAAAAACTAGCCTTTGTGAGTCCTACAAAAGCACAAGAAGCAGTGACGCGTTTAAAAAAACATGAATGTGTTGTCCTGATGAGACAGACTGCCCCCCCCCCCCCCCCCGCTCCTCATGTGAGTTTTTTTCAAAGGCCGGGGAAATACTGTGATAAAAAAGGAACGGGCTCAACCCAAAAACCTTGAAGAAACTTTTGTTTTTGAATAAAAATGAGTAAAACCAGTAACTTTTTGGAAACTTTTATTGGAGTTTATTTTATTGCCTTGACTCAAAAGCTTTTCATATAAAACTAGAATATCTGGGCGAGTAGTGTGGGTTTTGTTTGTTTTATCCCTTTTATTATTATTCTGTTTTTACATTTAAGGTTTCCATTCAGCTAAAATTTTAATTAACAATTATATTTTATATTTCACTTTTGCACAAAAGGAGAACAATACTCCAAATTTTGCTGTATCTACATACTTTGTAATACTGGGAAATAGGCTGTCTAGACTGAGGAGCCTCTAGACAATCGTAATTATCTCATCCAGCAGATGGCAGTGTCTTGAAGCGCTTAGCTGAGGCCTCGAGTAGTGAGCCATTTAGTAACTTAATGTGTAGGAAAGCCCCGTTTCATGGGGCTTCATTTTTCCCATCACTACTTGTCAGCTCTCTGCCCGTGTAGGTGTGTCAGCCGTGTGAAGGCTGATCCGATCCAGTGGCGCAACGACGCAAGTCCTCGCCTCTGGTTGGGGAGGGTTGTGCTGATCCAGGGGGACCATGCCAGTTTTGTTTTAGCAGTGTGGCTACCCACGCTGGTTGGCTTAAGAGCCGCTTTGTCATCCGGCCTTGCCTTCAGTGCTCCACCAAGATCAGCTGAGCGTCTCGTCGTTGGCGGTGCACCGGGCCACCACTACCAATTCATCTCCAGAGCCGGTGGTGTGCCCAGGGGGCTGCATCACTGCTGTTTCGTCTGCATCGGTTTGCTTTAATTAGATGTTGGGTGTCGGACGCCTGGTTGCCGGGGCAACCACCAGAACGCCTACAGGATTAGAAGGATTTATCTTTATTTAGTTACTGTGTTTGTGTTCTTTGGTGTGTTTTTGCAGGTTTAATGTTATTTAGTATTTGTTTGCCCTAGGCCAGTGTGGCTAATTCTTGTGGACTGACTTGTGCCAACTGGACGAACTCCATTTGTATGTTTTTAGATATTTTAATAAAGATGTGTGTTACTGAAAAGACAATCTGTTCCCATCGTGATTTTTGAACCTACGGGCCTTCTCTGGGGGGGGGGGGGGGGGGGGGGGGGTTAAGGGTGGCGTTATCTTATTATCCTTAATTTATTTATGTTACAACTCCAACTCGACACAGTAAGCTTCTGGTAAGCTCCAAAAAAAAAATGAGGACCAAAAAAAGTCATCAGTATGTACAAGAACACACACACACACACACACACACACACACACACACCACCCACACCACCCACTGGATTCCCTCCAAAAAACCTCAAAATTTCAACCACACTTCATATATATATATCTATATATCAATATATATCTATATATCAATATATATCTATAGATATATCTCTCTCTATATATATAGATATATATCTATATATAGATATATCTCTCTCTATATATATAGATATATATCTATATATATAGATATATATCTATATATAGAGAGATATATATCTATATATATAGATATATATCTATAGATATATCTCTCTCTATATATATAGATATATATCTATATATCGATATATATATATAGATATATATATATATATATTATATATATATATATACATATACATATATATACATATATATATATATATATAAATATATAGATGACTTGACATGGTAGGCCTATTCATCAGTTTTTATTTAAGTGTTTTGTTTTGTCACCCAAGTCACCCTGCTGGGTTAAATCTGGACCGAGAGCATTTAAATGAAACAATCGTATAACACAGTGTAAGTTGGTGATGAATTTTAATTATTCCAACACTGTAAAGTCAGCAACAATGATGCTGCTACCAACACAGCTGCTGTTTAACGCTCGGAACAGCAGTACAGTCACGTTGTGTCATTATTCATTCTAGTGTCCATAAATATGCCGTACAAAAATATTTATTTGACTCTAAACATCCTAGCATGTATGTTCATTTACATTATACACTTTAAATAGAATAAATTAAATGGAATAAATTATGTAAGTGGTGATGTTGAATTGTCACATCATGTATAAATTTGCTGTAAAAACATGTTATTTGTTGACCCACAGCTTTCCGAGAGGAAGACTATTTTGTTTTTCCAAGAACGGAAGCAAAAACGTTTTAGCATCACCCAAAACTATGAGTGAATTGCTGAAGTTAGTCGAGCTGCCTTTATTTTCTTCCACGTGTCCTTGTGTTGCTCATTCAGTCTGTAGTGGCAGGATGCTCTCCACTAGATGGAGCTCTTTCGCTCTCCCTGTCTGAGTCCATTCACGTCGCTCCGTTTTCACAGCCGACATGTCTGATATTTGCTCTGTGAGGAGGCGGACAGCTCGTAGAAGAGTAGGTAAGCGTTGCTGCTGCAAACCTGGCTGGAGGACATCAGGCTCACCCTGGCAACAACACACACACCTCAGGAAAAAAGCCTGCAGTACACTTTCAACTGACAGTAAGCGTGCTAGGCTGCACAGCTTTCTGCCAATCTGATAAAACGATATGGCAAAGTAACTTGATGATGCGAGATCCAATACCTGGAGTCATTGTAGCTGTACCACACCCCCAGTGCTGAGTTCCTGCAGTAGGCTGTGTAATGGCCTCCCAGGGTGTTTCCAGTGTGGTTGGAGACGGCGTACAGGTTATAAACAGGACGCTCTGTTGGAAGAGGCACCACAAGGGTCATCGAGTGCTCACTCACCAGGCGGAGCAGTGCGTCACACCTGTAGATACTCACCGCTGGTCGCTGCTGAAAACTCTCGCATGTCCAGATCTTTGAGCGGAAATTTGACAAACGTGGACAGTTTGCCCATTTGAACATTTGTGTCTGAGAAACGCTTCAAATCTGAGGCGATGGCTGAGTTATGGAACAGAAACTGGTTCAAAATAACACCTAAACATTATAAAAAATTTAACACAAGTAAGGGATGTTCATGAGTAAAAGGTTTCTGATTTGAGTTATTTCTTAGATTATTACAAGAAAAAAAATGTTTTTCCCAATTCATCAAAGTCTGGAGCGCATTTGAGAGGATGTGGCAGACACAGGAGAATCAGATGTAAGCCAGAGGATCGGATTTTCCAACTGGAAACTGTTCTTAGAGCCTCTATTTAACAAACAGAATGTTGTTGGGACTCAAAATGGCCCAGGAGCCGGTGGCACAGGAGTTAAGTGCTCGTCCCGTAATCGGAAGGTTGCAGGTTTGAGCCCCGTTCAGTCTGTCGCTGCCATTGTGTCCTTGAGCAAGACACTTAACCCACGTTGCCTGCTGGTGGTGGTCGGAGGGACCGGTGGCGCCAGTGCTCGGCAGCCTCGCCTCTGTCAGTGCGCCCCAGGGCAGCTGTGGCTCCATTGTATCCCCACCAGTGTGTGAATGTGTGTGTGAATGGGTGAATGACTGATTGTGTTGTAAAGCGCCTTGGGGGGTTCCAGGACTCTAGAAGGCGCTAAATCAATTACAGGCCTTTACCATTTACCAGGAGCCCTGCTAAATGGTCAAACATCTAAAGCCCAACATATTAATGCCCTACAAAGGAAAGACTGGTTTACTCCGCCCACTCGGCCAGGATTAAAATGAGCACCATGCTGATTGGCTGGTTTACCCTGCTGGTTATTTGAAGCTAGAACCTCTGTACATTTGTGTAAAGTATCCGAATAACTGAATAAGAAAACAATGGATCTATCCAGCCTTCCTTCAAAGTCTGGATATTCCCAGTACATCCAAACGTTACATGTGTGCTCCGACATTGTTTTTTTCCTCTAGTCTAACAAGGATTGTAGCAGTAGCTTGGGACAGCGTTAGCTGTAGTTCAGGCTAGTGTTAGCAGCTGAATCGCCTATTAGCGGTAGTTTGGGCTAGGATTAGCTGTAGTTCAGGCTAGTGTTAGCAGTTGATTGGCCTATTAGCTGTATTTTGGGCTAGCATTAGCAGTAGCTTGAGATAGCATTAGCAGCTGATTCGCCTACTAGTGGTAGTTTGGGCTAGGATTAGCAGTAGTTTGGGCCAGTGCCAGCAGTTGATTGGCCTACTAGCGGTAGTTTGGGCTAGCATTAGCAGTAGTTTGGGCCAGTGCCAGCAGTTGATTGGCCTCCTAGCGGTAGTTTGGGCTAGCATTAGCAGTAGTTCGGGCTAGCGCCAGCAGTTGATTGGCCTACTAGCGGTTGTTTGGGCTAGCATTAGCAGTAGCTTGAGCTAGTGCTATTCTGCAGTCATCATTACCTGCACCAATGTTTATATGTAGCAGATGTTGAAATGGGCTGGGCCATGCAAAAGTAGGGGTGTGTCTAAGCTTATGACATGGTAAATCAGCTTTTCTCAGAACGAACTGTTTTCTGCAACCACTACATCATTGCAAACTTACAAAAGAAAGCAGGTTAAAGACCACACAGACTTCTGGTAAATCTGACACCCCAAGCTGCCTATATTCACCAACAAGGTAAAGGTGAGCTTGAATTCTCTTTTAGGATCATTAACTCCGATACATCCTGCAGAAACGAGACAAAAGGATACGGAGTACAAGGATCTGTGGGAACTTCTGTATGCTGAACCTCTTGATGCATTTCCTCCGGGTTTTGCATCTGTCGCATGTCTAAGGGATAAGACGGCATTAATTCTGCTTTATGCTAAATTCATCATAAATGATATGTGTGGCTTAATGTGTGAAGACTCTTACCGGTCTTTCGTCTCCATCTAACACGTCTTCTCTGGTGAAGAGTTTTAGGCAGTCTTTGAGGGTCACCTCGCCTGAGCTTTTCTGTGGAGACAAACAGCAGAGCTGCTGTTTCAGCCTGGGCTTGAGTGAGAAACCCATCAACACAATCGGAGTGTGTGTGTGTGTGTGTGTGTTCATTCTGACCTGTGCAATAGGTATGGAGAGATCCCAGAATGGATCAAACACGGTGGAGCGAAAGCCACAAACAGTGCACGTCAAAGAGCTTTTTAGCTGTCCCACAAAAAGGTCTGAAAGTAAAAATCACCGTGAACATGCAAATAAGCATATCTGTAAGTTAGCTATTCAATTCCACTGCAGCTAAAAACTCACTAACCCACAACTTTGCTGTTCTCTCTCTCCAAGTACATGTTCCACATCCGTCTGGATTTTTCATCATCCCTGCAGCAGACAGCAGATCGGTAAAAAACCCGGCTCCAGGACCCTCTATACGGTGTATGCACCCCCCCCCTTTAGCTGACTGTGTGCAGATCAGCGTATGTGGCGGTGAGGCCTTGCAGGTTATAAGTTATGTATTGGACACAGAAGTGAGCTAATGTGCTGACTTACGAGGGGGGATCAAAGTCCTCCACAGACACCTTTGGTCTGATGGACACTCTGTTCACCTCATTGTGAAGGCCGTCCAATAAGAATCGCAGAAACTCCTGGGCATCCTGTTGACTAAAACGGGAGAAATTGTTTAGCAACTGCTAGTTTTACTAAAAAACATTAAAGCATACTAAAGGGGACACATTATGACTTCCCTCTTAAGATAAAATGGTCCTATGGTCGATATGGAACATGTTTATGAAGTTCTTCGCACCAAATCCTTCTCACATAAAGCAATTCCAGCAGCTTTATTTTATTTTTTTTACATTTTTAGTACCTTACACAATGAGCCGTGTCACGGCTCTGTCACTTTAAGAAAACAAACTGGAGCTGGTCACGCCCACCCATACCCTGACAGGCTGCTATTAACTGAGAAGCTCCGATATCTCAGAAGGGCTTGAAATATGAGCCGCTGCTTCTCCAGCAGAAACTCTCTTTCGTGTGAGAAGTGGTTCTTTTTTAAAATTTCCCATTTGTGACATCACAAATGGGGACTTTTTGAAACGGCTCGTTTTAGGTGCAGAATTCTTTAAACTAAACACTGATAGAAAGCAGATGGATTCATTACTTTTACATTTGGAGAGTTTAGAGAGACAGTAGAGACCCACATGGCAACAAAAAAGAATGCGAAAGGTAAGTTTTGCACAATATGTCCCCTTTAATGGAAAGTTTTTGTTTAAATAAAAGGGGAAAAACTTACCTGCTGCCGACAAATTTTGGAGCAAACCTCTGGATCTGATTTTTGAAATCGGAAGGGCTGATGGCTTCCTTACTCAAGGAAGTCCACAGAGTCTGAGTCAGCTTTGCAAACTCTAGGAAGAGACAAAAACATGACCGTGACAATCAGACTGGTTAGAACCAGAAAAATGTAGTTTGGATTATTAAGTCCCAAAAGTCACAACCTTAAACCTCAATTAGTTCAACAAACTGTGAAACGCGGCGGTGCAACTTATTTCTGTAATATTTAAGCTGACTGTAGCTCAGTGGATTTGGTTAAGTACACGAACAAAGATGAGGGAGTGTAAACTGAAATCATCTGACCCATAAAGTAGCTCACGTCTGACTAAGCCCTTTGTGCATCTGTAACGATCAGCATCCAGCCGCCGGTCAGCAGGTCAGAGACTCGTCCTACCTTCCATGAGGCCAGAGCTGGTCCTACAGCTGCTGCTCAGGTCCAAACGATAGAAGTTCCTCAGGCAGTAGTCCCTCAGCTCGCACGTGTTGCTCAAACATTGAAGGACGGAGTTCATGAAACACTGGAAACAACAAAAGCTTCAGTTAGAGGTAGTTCGTACTAAACTTGAGCTTCAGTAGATTTACGCAGACGACGCTTACCGTGTTTCCCAGGTTCTTCAAACCCACCAGACCCTGAGGACTCTTGTGCTGTTAACAATACAGAGGAGTGATCGTTAATGGCGAGCACCATTTTCATTCGCTTTGAGTTCCGTTTAAACCAAAAGTAGCTCCACTGGGGCCTGTCCAAATCTCCCAATTCATGCCGCTCATGGGGCAACAACCTACAGGAAGTTCTTTTCCAAGCTTTCCAAGTATTTGATTTGAGTTTGATGCACAGCTGGTCCAGAAGTAATCTGCTGATATTTCTGCGAGTGTCTGAAAACATCTCCATGTTAGAACAGCTGCAGTCAGCACTGCTCCTCCTCCAGCTTTGTGAAAACATCCCTTTGTTTTCCTTTAAATCTCCTCGTCTGAAAACGTTGCACGAGACCGCTTAAAGCAACATCTTAAGACTCCATCTTTACTGTTTTGGTCCAAGACCAATCCAGCTGCAAACCTGGTGTGAAGGTCGGCTTTTGTTTTCACAATAAACACACCGATCAGCTCTACTAGCTCAATGCGGTAAATCTGGTTTTTTTTCTTTTGCATTTAAAGCCTAAATAGAGACAATTATAAAAAAAATATGTATTTAAAACTCAGCTATTTATGGTCTTAAGTTAATCAAACATAAGAATTTTTAATGTGGTTATATAACCATTTAACAGGAATAAAGAAATAACATTAGCCCTTTCCACCTGCACATCCTCCACTAGGGGGCAGTAGACATGTAGAGGACCAGATTTGGCAGGTTTCTGATTAAGGTACTAATCCTGATGCTCCTTCTGAACGACAAGTGGTTTCAAATCAAACAGCCACAACACCTGCACGCACTTATTGGATCTGCAGGGAAAGATGCTGCAAGTTTTTCTGAAAAATAAACACAAATTGTTGTTTTCTACAGCTGGAACCGTCCACATCAGAAGGGATCTGCCTGCGCTCAGCATCAGTGTGACGAACCTCCCCCGGCTTGTGTGAAATTTAATCATTGCATTCCGATCCGTGCTGATGCTGGGAACAAGCTGCGTGTCACGGGCACTTAGAATTAATGACATCATCAGCTAACGATGACGCGGAAGAGGAAGGTTCTGCCTGCGTGGAGGATAGGATGGCGAGGTGAGTTCGTGTGTCTCAAGTCTCGGATCAGCTGCTTCAGTTTAGTAAATATCTGGCGAGTTCAGGGACTTCAGCGTCACTGGAAGACTGTGACAGAGGTCAGGAAGCAGCAGATAAGCGAATCAGAAGAAAAATCAACATCTGCAAGGTGCTCTGGTGAAATGTGAATGGTCTGACTTTAAAATACAAACACTTTAAACCTATTTTGATCAAACAAAAGTAATGAATCTGGTCCAAATACTCATACAACCCCCAAGTTTAACCCATTGAACACTGAATAAATCATGTTGCTGCAGCTGAAACCGCGGGCATTACCTTCTCTGAAGAGGTGCTGGTTAGACTCCGCTAAATCTGAAGGTTTTATTTACTCCAACATAAACTGATAATAATAAAAGATGCATGCTTGCACCTGAACAATCAACATGTTTAACAATCTCTCGTGTTACAAGTCCGTGCACATCCCTGTTGGTGACGTTTCCGTGACCCGCGGTTCGTCGTGGATGAGGGGAGCGTAGTAACTGCGCAGGACATGAGTGACACGCATCATCGCCTCTGCTGACAGCTGAGGAACTCCATGTGCTCGTAACAGCTGATGGAGGCAGAAATATCTGCGCACGCCAACGGTAAATGAAGCAGCAGCTATGTTTTTGTGAGTGCAGAGTAATCATTCCTTGTGGCGCTGCAGTGCCTCGTGAAATTCTGGTCCTGCAATTTCAACCCTTCACAAAAGATCTGTTACCGAAGCTTTCAACGGCCCTTTCGGAGGAAATCCGTGGTTTCCTCTTTATTCTTTGTGTGTTTTCTCCTTTCTGCAGTCCTTAATGGTGGACATATGGTACGAGTCCCAGTCTGCTGCACAGCTGACACGCTGGCCTCAGCTCACACAGCACGCACCTTCTGATTAAAAGGACCTGTCCAAAACCTGGGGAGGTGATGCTTTCAGGTGATTTCTGTGCTTTGAGGCAGAGCGCTCTCCACACGTTGGCAGGACTTCAAAGAGGTAGAGAACATAATGTCCTAAACCGAGCAAGGCATGGCGGCTGGAGGCCGTATAAGGTGTGATGAAGGGGCAACTAACCTGCACGAGATCTTTGCCAATTGCCACTCCCCTGGAAAAAATATAAACGCTGCCGGCTGGGAAACGTTCAGGCTGCACGAATACGAGTCAAAAGAAAATCTGAATTTAGCGTAATGCTAAAGCTAGCAGCATATATATATGTAAAAAAGACTGCTTTGGGGGATTTTCAGCTGTCCTGAAGTGTGTTTATGTGTAAACTTTATAAAAAAATCTCTTTTTTTTTTATTTCTGAAAAGCCTCAGTTCAGATAAATACATATTACATCATGCAAGACTGATATGCTAACAGCTAGTTAAAGTAGACCCAAATCATTGCAGCACTTTTAAAATGGTTCCACTCTTAAATATCATAAATCTTTGTATGACATGGATGCAACGTTTCTGCAGGATTTATCCTCGTTTGTGGAAGTGCTCCATTTAGCTGCAGGTGAAGCTAGAAAATAACCGTGATCTGAAACAAACGTTAGCATAAACGGGGACACTGTGGGACAACTGGGTGTAAGACAATAACAAAACATGTTTTTGGTTGTTAAATCTTTAGGCCTGAAGGACGTAAACTCCATTTCTCCAAACAGAGGCTGTTTGGGAAGCTTAATGGTAATTGGACAGTAATTATTTATCATTTTAAACATTCTAAAATAAACCCAAATATGCACAAAATCACACTAAGAGACAACAATGTTTAATTTTAATATAATTTTGATAGATTTAGCAACTATTTGTTTATTTTTAATTGTTTATTGTTAATTTTATTTTCAAATATTACAAAACAGTTTTTCTGCAGTGAACTCTTTTTTTTTAAACAAAAATTTATTGTCTAAATCAGGTGTGGGAATCCTGTGTATAACAGATATTATTTGCAAGAAAATAAAGAATGAAACTTCAGATTATAGGTAATAAATAGATTATTTGATTTTTGTTTTTAAACCAACAAATAAAGATGTTTTTTCATAATTTCTTAGTGTGAAACTATTTTTACCTTGTGGCTCCTGTTCAAGTGAAACAAGCACTTTAATACTGAGGAAATAGTCAGAACAACTCAATGTTTCAAAAGAAAACAAAAATATTCACGAGATCATCAAAATAACAGGAACGAGTCTTCTCTGCACCGGCAAACGCTCTCTCAGAATTTCAGGGAGTTGCTTCATGCTGCTGTGCAAATATTTCATCCAACATCTGAGTCAGCTGCTGAATCCTGCCTCCTGACTTCAGGCTGCTTAGTGGAAATAAAGGAGGGTTCATTAAAGGAGGGTTGCATTCACGGACGTCACGGAATGCGGAGGTGTTGACCTACGACCTGAGGCTAACACCTCGAACCCACATAAATATCTGCTGACTGTGGGCCGATCCGGACGTCAGCAGAATGCTCCGAGTGCTCGATAAGGTTTATTTCCTTGAACACATTCCTTACCAGCACTTCTCCCTTCTGTTATGCAACAACCACTCCAGATGGTTCCTTTGATGCAGGAATCTGCTGTTTATAACCCTCCCACTGTCCTAATGGGTGACCCCGCGAGGAAAGTTGACCACTGAGCAGGGTTGATGGCTCATCCCTTGGGTCCTTGTGGCAGGGGTGAGGAGTGGGCACCACCTCACCCATGCCACGAGGACCTCAAGGGATAAACCAACTCAGTGGTCAACTTTCCTCGCGGGGTCACCCATTGGGACAGTGGGAGGGTTAAACCCGTCTTTGCTGTCATGCGAGCATTTCCAGCCCATAATTCTCCACAAAGGGGCCTAAAGGAATTCAAGGCTTTAAAAGAAGCCTTTTCTTAGGAGTAATGCTGGAATTTAACACCTTCTGTCACACAACGATGCAAAAATATCACATACAGGACTGGAAATCCTCTGTAAAGGTTGTTTCGCCATTGTAAAATATGAAATCCTCCCTGATTATTTCAATTTTGCTCCCAAGAATTCAGAATTTGGTCTAATAAAGAAAAAATAGTAATTTTCTGTGTTGACCTTTGAACTCTGGCTGCTTTTTCACAAATTTTCTGTGCAGTTCTTGAAATATTTGAGCATTTAAATGCTCATTAGCCGTTTATTACCATCAAAACACAAAAATGTTTTGATTTATTTAGTTGAAAATGTGAAAATACAAAAGTAAACACTGTTGGACAGAAAGAAAATAACTTTTTTGAACCATTTAGGTGATTCCCAACAAGTTATTCACTTTAAACGTAGCTAGATTTGTTCTGACTTCGAACTGGTATTGCTTTTTACTCCCCGTTTCTCTCCTACTTTTCCATTTTTCTCAATGATTTAAGCACACAGTGGACAATAAGCTGTTTATGCTCAGAGATGCATGCACTACACAGAAAATTTATATTTTAATTAGTCATAGATAAAATGAACAACTCTGAAAGACCTGCAGAAACAAACTAAATATTACAACAAAGTTCTTAAAAGCAGAATATGAACAAAATGATATGAAATGATGATTAATCCCGACATAATCCCACTTGTTGAAAACTCGTAGGAGACGATGGACTCACCTTGGCCGGGTTGATGATCAGACCCATGAATGTGGACACCAGCATGGACCGGGACAGGGACGGACTCTTCCGTCTCAGCTTGGGCTCCTCCGCGGGGAAAGCGGCGTGTTGTCCCGGTGCTGTCACCGTGTAGGAGTGTCTCAGAGACGGCATCCTGTGCAACACCAGGACGGGGTCGTAGGCAGTTTAAAATCCTCTCAAACGATGACGTCCTGTTGTTTGATCTCTGATCAGTTCGTTCTGCCTTCTCCTCGGAGCTCTAAATGACGCACGGACGCTCTGTGTCCGAGTTTTAGCAGAGTTCCGTAAACGTCTCCTCCCACTCGGAAATGAGTGATGTTGCCTTTACTTGTTGTCGGAAATAACCACACTTAGTTCATTGAGACGGACTTTTCATTATTTTCATTTAAATAAAAAGCTCATTAACTTATTTCTCATTAAAGGTCTATTTAGTTATTTTTAAAGTAGGTTTTAGTGATAGTAAACCTGAATGTAGTGATGAGCTAACAGTTAGCAACAAGCTAAGGTTAGTGGATTGTTCCACTTTTTATAGCAGTTTGTGTAAATAATAAATGCTCGTTTATAAATCTTTACACGCTGACATTGTCACACATAATGATTGTTTTCATTGAGGACGGTTTGCTAGTGGTATACTTCCAGTAGGCATTTCATATTCTGCTGAAAGCCCTGTTAGCATTAGCAAATAGTAAACCAAGTCATATTGCTCCATTTTCAAACCCAAATGCATTTTTTTCTGCACTTTTTCTAAATAACTGTCCACAATATGAAGCAAAGGTGTCAATTTTTGGTTCTTTTTTAAAACACAGAAAAGGTTTCTCTTTACCTTGCTGACAGTTTCGTTTGCGGCTGCAAAACATCCTCTGAGCTGACGCTGACGTCACTTCCTGCTCCGTTTATCCGTTTATTCGGTGTTTATGATCGAACACCAGAAATACAAAAGGTGGATAAAGGAAGCCATAGAGATAAGGAGACGTGGATGTGGGACCATGAACAGAGACGATTGGGGATCGTGCATGGGACTGCATCATGGAGAGGGGAGAGCGAGCAGCAGAGCACGTGTCACCCTAACCCGGATAAACGAGCAGGAAGTGACGCCACCGTTTGCAGCCGCAAACGAAACTGTCAGCAAGGTAAAGAGAAACCTTTTAAGTGTTTTAAAAAAGAACCAAAAATGGAATTAGAAGTACACAGCAAGAACGCACCAAAGATATTTACTCATTAGGTTTTTTGCTTAAAGTATAAAAAGCCACAGGGTTGGCAAATTAGGGATACATTTGGCTACTGGTTCCAACCATACATGCCCACTGAAAAAACTGAATACTAGGGAGCACAAGTCACACCCATCTATTTCTGGTCCATGGGTCCCCGGAAGAACAAAAAAATGAATGCAAGTCAAAAATGGGGCTAAAAACGCTATTTTCTCATTCCGTTTGTTATGTGCCATGGATTTATATGATGTCTGTGAATTCAAAGACGAATTTTGATGCCAAGAATGTGCTTATTTTTGAGCGGGGGGAAAAGGTCTTTTAGTTTTTGTGTGAAAATACAAATGTGCATCACCAATTTGACGTCATCGAAGCAGACACGGAGAACATAGAGGTAAAATGGCTGCAAGTTCTACTTCAAATCCTTCCATCAGGAGGAAAGAACCACCATAAATCTGGCCATGTGGTAAGTAGCAGCTACGCTAGGGTAGAGGAGATCATATGGTGGTGCTCAATTTATATGAGCGTACAAATCATATGCAACGTACCGATGTCTGATTTGTAGTCATGCCAATTATGAACTTTTCCAAGCTAATAAACCTCTAAGTACGTGATTGGCGTGGTGGACACACACATCGTTACATCTTAAGTACAACATATGTGTGATTCGCAAAGTGTAAGGCAAAGCGGATTAAAAACTAGCTCTTTTAGCCACGTTGACTTGCAATCACTTTTTCATTCTTCCGGAACCCACGAGGAAAGGGAGGAGACTTAGGCTCTCATAGGGTGAATGGTAGATGTTATTATCCATCTGCAATCAAAATCACTCTGTTCGAATGGCCTAACTTATCTGGATATGTTTTCTGCCTTTGTGAAATAAAATAAAAGTTACAAGGCAGTTTTTGAAACATAAGGAGTAGACAGTAGAGATAACTGTGTAAAATGTTAGAAGTAGAAGTATTAAGTTGGCTAATTTACTTTGGTGACGTATAGAATACGGTAAATATAACGTAAAAAGTATTTGTACTTCCTTACTTTTGCCATTAGAAGTTGTTGGTGGGGAAAACAAAAAAGCATAAGTACTCCAAATATGGGATTATTGTCATCCTTTCATGATTTAAAGAGCAGATATGAAATAAATTCAGCATTTTTGTTATCTGATTGCACAGATTTCTGTTTGCGCTGCTGCTGAAATGAAACAATGAGTCTTTATTCCCTGTGATTTATTCCCTGCAGCAGAAAGTCTGGTTGACTTATAGAGTTTGAGCTTTAGACTCTGGCTCTGATTTGACACAGCTGTGAGTCTGATAAAATGCCTGTTTATTCCCTCGTAACTCTCTAAATACCCTTTAACCCCTAAGTTCAAAGTTCTCAACCTTATCAGCCAACATTATATCTGACGTGTCAAATTAAAAACACCAAAATGTGCTGCAGTTTTAGTGGAAATGTTGATCTATAACAGATAATGTTGAAATATCACCTTTTATCAGCATTAATTTGTCTTAACATTAAAAACATCAATTCAATAACAGAGAGAACACCAGCAGGCCCAACAGGAAGACCAAATAAGGCCAAAAAATTTCCTGCCGATGAAACCTTATTAGCATTCACAGAGGAATGACGTGTTAACATGGTGACATTCCAAACTCTCGTTGTAATTTTAACAGAAATACCTTTTAGAGAGGTCACACGCCAGGTTTACCAAGTCAAAGTGTTGTCATCTTAAGCTGGCTGAGGTGAGGTGAATCGTGTGTGATGTAATTCAAAGATGCAAAAAGTACCTTCGTGACTAAAATGTCATCATTTCTGGATTTTTTTGTTGTTGTCGTAGGCCAGGGGTCGGCAACCCAAAATGTCGAAAGAGCCATACTGGACCCAAAAAACAAAAAACAAAAAAACAAATATGCCTGGAGCCGCAAAAAATTGAAAGCCTTATATAAGCCTTATGATGAAGGTAACACATGCTGTATGAATCTATATTAAACTACTATCAAAATGACTAAGTTGGCTACAAAAGCATCATGAGCCTTCATGATTAAATGTTTATACTCCCTGTAGCGCGTCCTGTAGAGCATGACGCACCACGTGACTACTCTGTTGTACGATGCCGCCTCAAGTTTAACTTCATTACAATATTAATGAATCATGTTTCATTGCCTTGATTAAATTAAAGAAATGCAATAAAGAAATCTGATGTTTGATGTCATTTTTATTTTTAGGATTCGAAAAAACTACAAAATGGAACGTGCATAACGTGCCCCTCATCGGGGCAACAAACAGTGCAATAAAACGCAGCCTGCATTTATAAAAACCACTCCTTCATGCAGTCGCCGTCTGTGAACGGTTTCCCACGCTTTTTTATCTCCTGGGTTGCAGCAAAACTTGCAGCAGTGGAGTTTGGAGATGCAATCCACTTCTTAAATCTATTTTTGCGCTCCTGTAATTTCTCCAGAAGTAATGCAATCACACTTTTTCTCTCACTCCCAACTGGATACTCGGCTGCAAATGTAGCATGCCATCCCTGGAAATGTCTTTCCACATTACTCTTTTTGTTATGTGACAACTTCTCGTTACAGAGCAAACATTCAGGCAATCCTTCCGCGTTGGCAATGAATGCAAATGATTCGGTCCAAGAAACGTTGAATCCTCTGTTCTCCTCAGTTATTTTTCTCTTTTTCCCTTTGGGATCCATGGCCCATCACACAGCCGCCTGCCTGGCATCCCGCCCGGCTGGTAGAAACGTGTGTCGCAGGCTATGACGCAAATCTTCGTTGACAGAAATGTTGAAATTAAATATTTTTCTACACATTTTTACAGCGCTGAAAAACGTCAAGAATGTTTGTGTCATGTTTGTCCTCCTACAGAAACTATATTAAAACAAAAAATGTATTTCCTTCCGCCATCTTTTTCCATTTTCAAACATTTTTGAAAAAGCTCCAGGGAGCCACTAGAGAGCGCTAAAGAGCCGCATGCGGCTCTAGAGCCGCGGGTTGCCGACCCCCGTCATAGACGATAACAAACTTTCTGGATTACCATTTCTGAGTTAAAATAACATTTAAGCTATCAGTATTCCTGAGGTGTAGCCAAGTCACTGCTGTGCAAGCCACAAGTAAGTCCCAAGTCTTTCCAGTCAAGTCTCGAGTCTCAAGTCCAAGTCAAAGACAACCAAATCCAAGTGGAGTCCAAAGTCAACGATCTGGAAGTCTGTCAAGTCCAAGTCCTTAACTTGAATTATCAAGTCATAATCAAGTCATCTGTCCAACTTCAATTTAATGACGATGATAATAAATAAATTCCAGAATTAAAGCTTCTTAAAGCTTCGTTTATTTGCTGAAACAAGCAGGAAGTGCTGCTGTGTTTAGCAGAACAAGATCAAACCCAGAACGAAGAATGATTTATGATTTTTTTCCACGTCGTGCCACTTTTGTTCTAAAATATCAAATATGCTCAAGTCATCAAGTCAGCAGGTGCAAGTCGATTCAAGTCCCAAGTCATTGGCATTCAAGTCCAAGTCAAGTTGTAAGTCTTCATAGATTTTATCAAGTCAAGTCAGAAGTCATTAAAATAACGACTCGAGTCAGACTTCATGTGACTCTAGTCCACACCTCTGCAGTATTGTTTACTAACCTGGTCCATTGTCTAAAATAAACCCTGCGGATTCAGTGATTCTTGCAGCAATACACAATTTCTGCAACTTTCTTGTTGATTCCTGGCTTTTCCCATCCAACCTCTGTCTGGACATGTTCAGGGTAAAGCATTACCACTTTGACCTTTGACTAGTTGATCAGTTAGCTCCAATTGTCCTGTTATGCAACAAGCCAGAGAACATTTCACATCATAAATAAGAAGCATAGCACGTTTGATGATGTTTACCAGCTGCAATAAAAGCACACACTCTAATTATTAAAAACACACCCTTTTTTAAAGCTAAGTGATTTCCTCTGTTGACAATCCTTTCGACTTTACTCCCTCAGCATCAGGAGAGGCCTAATGAGGGAATACCACCCGGTGAGATCATGCCGGAGGACGGAATTGTTTACCTAAACTTCACGCTGACTCACTTGGGAGTGTTTTTTAGAAAAATTAGAAGCATAGGGGTGGGCCCAGAATGTGAAAATTTCCCAAAACA